TGAAAAGTTTATCAGATCTACAGATGCACCCGCACTAAGAGAAAAATGTCGAATTCAAAGTACATATGTGACCGAGAAAAATCGGTCCACCCTCCCATAAAAAGATATCACTTCAAAAACGCAGACATTTTTCTAGTCTGGGTGGTTTTTAATGGAAAGAAAAACACTAGCATGAAACAATAATTATGAGATAAACGGATAATGCGAAATATTTCGTACTATCCATTTTGGAGTAAAAATGGTTTTTTTAAAGCGAGTATAGTAGTTCCTTCCTAGAGAAATCTTGCTTGAAAGTACATCGTTTTTAACAAATAATTAACCAAACAATTTGACCAGCAGTTGTAAATTGTAGATAAGCTCGCAGTCTGATTAAAAAAGTTTTCACCTGCATCTCGTATGCAGGCATGAATAAAGTCTAATAAATTTATGATTTTAAGAGTCGCTGGACCCATATTCGACCAGAATCTCTAAAATTATTTGACACACTGAAACCGTAACAGAGAGTGATTATTTTTCTGCTGAATGGCTTTCAAACGACTGTGTACGAACAACTTCGAAATTAAAAAATAAATGGAAAATATTCTCTTAAAGGCTGGCTCAAAGGGGCCGAAGACCTTTTGATCTCCGCCTGCCTAAAGACTCCTCAATTTAAGATCTATCAGAGATTGAATATTTAGGCCACGGGGTACTACTGCGTTTTTCATGTCGTTTTTAGTAAATAATTTTTTTCTGAAATTCAGTAATTTGCCTTCATTTTATTAGACTGTAAAGTTGTTATTTCACGTTTGTCTTTGAATGAAAATAGGGGAATTGGCTGACATCCATAGAGAGCTGAGCGACATTCGTAGGATTTATCCGTAAATCCGTAATCCACTTTCATCTTGATTTTCATAAGTTTAATTATTGCGAAACGCCGGCGAAGTGCTGAACTTGATAAGGCCCATAAATTCCGCAAATTAGGCGCAAACCCGAGTTAATGGTAACGTGTTCTGTACAGACTGACTCGTGACTGGGATACTATCAATCCTCTGGTTCTAAAAAACGGATAAATAGTGATATTTACCGGCAAACATCATCCTTAGTGAGCAGTTTATTTTTATGCTTCGCAAAACCGCTTCCCTTGGCTACGATAATCTAATTATTCGTCCCTCTTTGATCCAGGCTAATTAATCTAATTAGTGTTTCCAAGTGGATTTGACAACTGTGAACCTTCTCTGCACGCCAATTTGGAATTAGCGCCATACAAAACACACACACGACGAACGAAATGATACCCTTGTGTTGAATAATGACGATTTCTTAAGGGAACGTCCAGATACAATTTTGATTACATGGGACATCAAGTCTAATGGTAATGAATATTGTCCTAGATAAGTACACGCAGTTTAATCATTAAATATGAATATTATCCTGACTGTTCGGTTGTTTTTCAATCATCCACACACGAGTCAAAAAACGCTCTGAGATTGGCAGCGATTAGTATTCAGTAATAGCGGAAATGCAAGAAGGCTCAAAACATCAGAAAAAATTGTAGATAAGTTCTATATTGTTGAGGCGGATTCATTTTTTTACAAACTTCTTTTTGAGTATTTCGCCTCAAAAATTTTTGTCTTTAAAAAAGACAGAATT